GTCAGGAGATCGAGACGATCCTGGCTAACACGGGACGCTGAGGCAGGAGAATGGTGTGAACCCGGGAGGCGGAGCTTGCAGTGAGCTGAGATCGCACCACTGCACTCCAGCCTGGGCGACAGAGCAAGACTCATCTCAAAACAAAAAAAAGTATAAAAACAAGAAAGAGTTAACCAAACACACAGTACTGATGAAATATGACCAAGGGGCTTCCTAATAAATATCTAAAAGAATTTGATCAATAAAATGTACACATTTTCATTTTCCAGTACATTTTAAATGCTCACTAACATTTTTAGCAGATATAGTTTAATAAACTGAACATTAAGAAAACTTCAGGCGGTGCCTCACGTTTGTAACCCCAGCACTCTGGGAGGCCGAGGCAGGCAGATCACCTGAGGTCAAAAGCTGGAGACCAGCCTGCCCAACATGGCAAAACCCTGTCTCTACTAAAAATACAAAAAAAACAGCCAGGCATAATGGAGGGCACCTGTAATCCCAGCTATTTGGGAGGCTGAGGCAGGAGAGTCGCTTGAACCCGGGAGGCGGACGTTGCTATAAGCCAAGATCGCGCCACTGCACTCCAGCCTGGGAGACAAGAGCAAAACTCCTCAAAAAAAAAAAAAAAAACTTCAAATACTATCAAGTATTACCGACATACAAAATCTCTCAGACACATAGAAATCACCCTTTGAATCCCTCCTAGAAGTTCAGCCTAAGAGAATGACTTTTAAAGTCACATTTATGAAATATTCCACCCACTGCAGCTTTGAGTATCATAGCAAAAGCTTAGAATAGCTACATGCTCACAACAAAGAAGAGATTAAGTCAGTCGGGGCATAGACACTCAATGAAATATTACACAGTCCTTAAAAATAGATATAAAAACTATGGAAACATGGTTACAAAATTAAAGCAAGTGGTGTATCTGGGTTAAGGGGATGTTGAAATTTTCTGTACTCTTCCAGCAACTTTTCTATAAGCTTGAAATTACATCTAATTGAAAAGTGATATATATATATATATGAAAGAATACAAAATTGTTACAGATGCTAACATTGCAAAAGTGTTACAGGCACGGCTACAGAAGAGACTAACAAGAAAACCACAACATGAGAAGCACGGTCATTAAAATATTGGGATTATGGATTTTTCTTTTATGATAATTTTTTTGTTGGAGGCAAGGAAGCAAGGTCTTACTCTGTTGCCCAGGCTGGAGTGCAGTGGCGCAATCGATCATAGTTCAATACAGCCTCAAACTTCTGGGCTTAAGCAATCCTCTGGTCTCAGCTTCCCAATGTGCTGAGATTACAAATTTGAGCCATCGAGCCCACTTATGACACAAATCCAAGCTAAACATAACGTGAAGCCTAAGGTTCCTAGCTCTGTAGAAGGTGGGCTGCGGCCCTGAGGGTGGAGAAACATTCTCATGTGTCTGAGAAGCTGGCTGAGCAGCCGAAGCAAGCACCAGGCTTTGGTTTCCCTGAAGCATGGAACCCTCTGGACTCGCAGGCTCACAAAGAACAAAGTAAAGTCTTGAATTAAGACTCAGTGGGAAGAAAGTTATAATTACCAGGCTCGGGGCCAGCAAGAACCGTAATGGGCCTGGGCTGTCCTCGCAAGGCCGGCCAGCCATGGGCATACCTGGACACAGCACAGGACCTCCAAGGCTGCCCTGGACTGCAGAACAGCAGGCCTGCACTGAGCTGTAGGGACCCACACAACGGAAGGGAGGCAGGAGGAGCCGGCATTTCACACTGCACTGTCCCAGGCACCACAGCGTGGCTGCAAATTAACCTGGCCGCTCCCATAAGCCGCCATCAGTGTTCCACGGGTGGGGGAGGGGAGAGCACCACCTGTCTCTGCCATGCCATTCCCCCCTCCACACCTGTCCCACCACCACGTGCATCAGATCAACACGGGCGTTAAGTTCATCTGTGTGCCGAGCCCCCAAGCACAGCTCAAGGACACAGCAGGAGGGGAGTACAGGACAGTGGCAAACTCTGGCCTCCAGCAAGGTGGGCTTCAGCTGCGTCTCCACCACAGGCAGGGGCCAGCCCAGACCCAGTTTCCCAGCTCAGATGCAGAGCAGCACCTATGGAGGTGCAGAGCTAGAGGCCAGCCAGGGAAAAGCACACATGACACGCTTCCATTTCAGCAGAGATTCAAGGGAACACATGGCTTTATGAAAAACTGACAAGTGAGCCACTGAGTAAACTCTCATACATGAACAATTTTATGTTTTTAGTTGTATTCATATATTTATGACTGACTGACTGAATAAGACTCTCACTCTGTTGTCCAGGCTGAGTGCAGTGAAGTAATCAGAGCTCACTGCAGCCTCGACCTCCCAGGCTCACATGATCCTCCTGTCTCAGCCTCTCAAGTAGCTGGGATTACAGGTACACACCACCATACCCAGCTACTTTTTAAATCTTTTTTTTTTTTTTTTTTTTT